AGTTATCAGTATAACTTAAAAGTTGCTTATTTAAATAAAAGAAAATTTATAACTTAATTCTTGTAATATTATCATGCGATATAAATTCATTTTAACATCTATTACAAAAAGAAAGATTAAGCATTAGTGAAGAGAAACGTCAAAGCTACTAATGGTGGCGAATAGATGTGCGCGTATTTAATGTGCTAAACTTAGTTCCAAACATGCACTATATAATATATAAAAAGAAATCCAAACTATTAAATTTAATAAATAACTATTTTTCTTTGCATGTGTTTAAAGTATATATTAAGAAGTTAAAAACAATAAAAAGTTAACAAAAGTGAATTAGTTTTAAATGGTCCGATGTTAATAGATTACAGAGGAAATCATTAGTCATTTTAATTTGAAGCGGTGACTTTGGCCTCTCAGCAAATTTATGTAAGTCTATAATTATTTAGTAATTGATAATTGTCGTCGCTGGGACCAGAAAAAAGAAGGTCAAAAACACAGAACTCGGAACTCCGTAGAAAATGGATAATGAGCAATAAGAGCATGTGATCGATAAAGAAGGCAACTAATTGGATCATACCACGCTGGACAAATCTTGCAGTTTTCTATGTTTGATGTTTCCTATGAAAGAAGATTTTTCCATGCAGAAGTTTCTTCAGATGTCGATGTTTTGGAAGTTCAAGATCATACATAATTACATGGAGTTTTTTTTTTAACTAGTGCAATACAGGGTAAAAATATTATATATAATTTATTTATTATTTTAAAATACTAGAGCATGTTATCATTTTTTTTATCGCGTGTTAAAAATGTCTGTCTGTTTTGAAAATTTGTATAATTACACATTTTCTTACTAATGCTACTTTCTTTATATATCTGGGTTGGATGGATTCGAAACTATCATAAAGATGGTCAAAAATTACGACGATTCAATGTTTCTTTTATTGTTATTATTCTTGATTAATCGAAGGACGCTCTGTTCCGAGGATCACTTTGTTAGCACTAATTGATTTGATTTTGATGTGTCTCAACGAGGGAGCCCCGACTAGTGTAGAATATATATATGTATATCTTATTGGACTTTTCTTTTCCAAATTACTACTTTCCTAAATCAATCGTTTTCAGATGACTTCTTAGTTTTCCCTTTCCCTGGTTGCTTGTTCATAAATCATTCATTTTCAGTTCACTTCCTTTCCAGTTTCTAGTTGCTCACTCAAAAATCACTCATTTTCAAATCATTTCGTTTGCATCAATTCATAATAAAGTTTTTTTTTTTTAATTATTCAAGCTCACATTGAAATACATCCAGATGGATTTACTCAGTTTTTAGGTAGTGAAGTCTCAAAAGTTAAATATCGAATTATTTCTTTTTACTCAATGTGAAACATAACAATATTTCGTCTAAAACAATGATTGAAAGATAGATAGCTAGATATGACAATTGATATAAACCAACCATTTGAAAATCTTCACCCATATGATTGAAAAAAATGGTTTGTCTACGGTAAAGCAAAAAAGGCTTACAGAGAAAGGCATATGTGAAACCAATTATCATGTATTGTCATTTTGATTATCACTTTTGCTTCCTTCCCATTCCTTGGTATTTATTATGACCAACTTGTGATTTCTTTTTATGAATGCAGCTATATTTTTGTTGATGTGGAAAATATATATATATATAAGTTTAATTTATTATCAATAATTATCTACGTTGCTAGCAATTATTATACTTTTCATATAAGATAAAAAGATTAATTTTTGCATATATAGTTAAGAAAGATTTGCGATGAATAATTAGAAAAAACAATTAATTATATAGTTAACAATGAATACATTATTAAGAAATTATAATAATAATATAATAATTTAAATTAAACTTCAAGAATTCATTTGTAATTGTTTTTCTTGCAATATATTCTTAAAAATGCTTGATTGTGTTTTTTGTTGTCACATTTCAGTGAAAATTTTATTTTAGTTCATTCAAACCAAATTTTTTATTTCATACTTTTTAATAATTTTTTAATTTTAATGTTGATTAAATTCATTAATATATTGTCATGCACTCATTTTTTTATTTGACCACATTATTGTTTTAAATTAAACAAAATTTATAAAAAAGTTGAATCTAGAAAAATAAACAAATTGTTTAAAGGGAAAAAATAAATATTTGTTAAAATATGAGTTTAATTTGTCACAACTTTTGTCATAATATAATTTAAATTTGTTATAAATTTGATTATAATATGATTTGTTATACTTTTTTATTGTAATATAATTTAAATTAAGGTCAAACTAATCCACAAGTCGCTATAATTTTGTTGAGTTTCTAATAAATTCTTATAGGTTAAAGATTTTGACCTTGTACTTAAAAAACAATAATAATAATATTTGAGCCCCTACTCATTTATTATGGTTAACCTCTACTGCTAAATTATTAAGACATATTAAAAAAGGTAACTAAAGTTTAAGAGTAAATTTAATTGTGTTATCTATTAAATAGATTCTTATAATTTATTTATACTTTTAAATGGGTTGGCACAATTTGATAAACGTTTACAGAGATGGGTTTCATGGCTATTAATAACGATCTGTTTAAATTTTCCATAGATGAAATTATAAAATCATATAGAAAAAAATAAGTAATGATTGAATTATTAATTAAATAAATGAAATGCTTGTTGATAAATTAAAATAACTAGATAATGTATGTGAAAATACTTAGGAATAACAAATATTGTTTTGTGTTTGGCTAAAAGTTGTTACGCCTTGTTACTTGTGCAATTAATCAAAATTAAATATTAAATAAAGAATGATGTGACAAGGCAATGGAGCCTTCAAGTTATTGAACGCATTGGCGTAACGCTATATCAAATATCTCTTTTTATGGAAAATATCTCCATTCGGAATGTTATGAATTATTATACTTTTTTTGTCATCGTTTTATTTTTTAGCTTTAATAATGAAGCAGTACAGTGTACACTACTCGCTTTAGTTAGAAAGGTTAATAATGATTAATGCAATAATCAAACTAAGTAATGGATGCTTAATTACTTTAAGGAATGTGTTAAAATATTATTGATAAGGGTATTTTAAAAATATTAATTAAAGAACATCTATTTATTTTTATTAAACAATCTTATTCCAATAATTGTTTAATGAATTGAATCTTAAATATTGTTAGTTGTTAATATACTTTTTTTAATTAATAACCCGTAACTATTATCAATTTATTTATTTGGAATTTTGCATCTGTGGTACGAATACTTTATATTGAACATAGATAGCGTAAAGGACAACCAATTAGAACACAAGATAAATTAATATGACATCTTAAATGTTATTAAACGTATGTTATGAATTCTCTATTGTATAAAATTATTTAGGAAACTCTTTTAAAGCATTAAAATAATAATAATAAATGGTAAGAATATATTTGACTAATTAACTTGTTTCCTTATTATTTTAATCACATACTTTTTTATTTAAGCTATTTTAATTTTCTGATTTTCAAATACTAGATAGCTTTTCTTTTTTTAAGTTTCATTTAACACTATCAATTATGTTAATTTATCTTTATATTAGACTTAACACTGCTTTATTTTACTTAACAAAAAGAAAAAAAACATTGTTTTATTTTAGTATTTAAATTTTAAAGTCTTACATAATATTACTTTTATTGTTGTCTCATTGAAAAATAAATTATTTGCAACAATCAGTTAAAAAAAGACTTGAGAATGAACCAATAATTTCTGTTGAGATTGCTCTCTCTCTCTCTCTCTCTCTTTATATATATATATATATATATAGATAGATATTTTAAAAAACCCAATTAAAATATTTTGGATATTATGTATATGTTTATTTATATTTGTCCTTGTTGTATCAAATTAATGCAATGTATAATAGACAATGGAGCATTAAAATTCATATATAATAAAATATTTTTTAACATGTATTTAAAAGTATATTAATAAATATATTGAAAATTACAATATTTAATATTATTTATGTACTAGAACTTATAATATTTTAATTTTTAGTATATATAACTTATTAGTATGTGTCTGTAGATATATATTAAAATATAAAATTATTATAGCAAAAAAACATTATTACACGAATTTATATTCACAATGACGTGATTAAATTTAACGTATACAATTTCATGCAATTTTTTACAATATTTTAATGTTAGTATGACTCTTATAGAGAAAAATAGAGGGAAAGAGATATTTTTTAATTTTAAATTACAAAATTATATATTATTTACAATGATAAATATATTATTAATATATTAAATTTTTGTTAATATATTTATTTAAAATATAAATTTATATTATTTTCTCTTTTTAAAATTTTCTTTCTCAAACAATCCCTTAGCAAAATCTAAATTGGATAAATTGTTTAACCTGGTCAATTTATCCATGTTGACTTAAGTTTTCATTTGTACGGTATAATTGTATTATATTGATATTTTTTACTGTCGTTAAATTTAATTAGCTATTATAATTAAAAAATGTGTCGATGATTGTTATAAAATATCTTAAATGCTTAGGTAGCTATTGAATCTTCGTTTTTACTGGTCTTTTGCTTTTTACTAATAGCATGAATTTGTTACTGACGTTAAGCTTTTGATTCCTTAGAAAATGTAACACAATAAATTTAGACAAACATCATACACTGTTTATTTATTTATTTTATAAAACATTAATTTATATAATTTTTATTTATATTATACACTGCTTGAACATTTAATAATATAACCTTATACAAAATAATTTAAACTAAAGAATACATATTATGAATCTTATTACCTCCAAGGACAGGAAACTCGGCCGGTTGTTTCCGTCGACGAGACCACAACTCAACTGTGACACAGAGCAATAAAAAATGATATATAAAGAAATAAATCTCAATCCTACGCCAATACTAGTGACCGGTGACCGTACCAACCGGTTCGAATTGCGAACCATGAGAGAGAAAATGTTTATATATTCCATCTTCTCTTACTTAAATGGGTCTGAACTTTATGAGTGTTCCGTTTGGATCCTCCCTTCTTTCTCTCTCTCTCTCTCCGGTGCCATGAAATCCGGTTGTTGCCAATACTGTTATTCTCTCCGGTTCTGAAATTATCGCCGAGAAAATGAGAAATGTAACTACCAAAGCTCGCGGTGCTTCCTTCTCACACATCCCTCTGTGAGTTTCTTTCTCCTCCTTCTCCTCTGTTCTTTTCCGGTCGCCGGAAACCTTATCCGGCGTACTCAGTGACCGAGGAATCTTCTAATTATTTTTTCGGGACTTTACTTCTGTTCCACCGCAGATTCTTTGTTCGTCGAAGGAGCTCTTTCTCTTTCTCTCACTAGAGCTCTCTTGCTGGTCCTTCAACCGTTCTGGTTGCATTTTACGTGTATTAACTAATTGTTGTTTTCGATTCGATCGGTTTTCCCGGTGCGGACCATCGCTCGGAGAGAATATCCGGTGACGTTGAAGCAATATTAGTTGACTATGTTATAACTGGAATAAATACGATAAAAACAATAAAAAAGAAGAAAATCGGAGGTGAAAAGTACCTTGAAGATTAAACGTGATGTTGGATCTTAATCTGAATGCCGATTCGACTCAGAACGGTGACTCGCTGGTGATGTTGGACAAATTTCCCGAAGCTTCTTCGGGGACCTCGAATTCCTCCGTCGTGAATGCGGAGGGGTCAAGCAACGGAGGAGGCGACGAGGACTCGTGTTCCACACGCGCTGGCGGCGTCTTCACCTTCAAATTTGGTATCCTTAAGGTGGAAGGTGAGAACGACGTCGTCGCGACTAAGGAGCTGTTCCCGGTGAGTGCCGGGAATTGGCAGGGGCAGAGTTCGACGTCGTCGTTTCCAGCGAGGAAGAGTTTGGTGGATCTCTCTCTGGATCATCATCGAGGCGAAAAGGGAGAGACGAAGGTAGTTCAGGTTCAGCAACAGCCTCAGGTGAAGAAGAGTAGGAGGGGTCCAAGGTCTCGGAGCTCTCAGTACAGAGGAGTCACCTTCTACAGGAGGACAGGAAGATGGGAATCGCATATCTGGTTCGTGCAATTCACACTGTTCAATTTAGCGTCTATTGTATTTTCCCCTTTTCAGGTCTTTGTTTGATTACTGGGGAGTAATTGTATTTTGCTGTGAAATTTGAATTTTGTTATACATGGTTGAATTGCATCTGACCTTTTTTTGGGCGGTTGAAATTGTGTAGGGATTGCGGGAAACAAGTCTATTTGGGTATGTATTTGTATTTTTGATTAATTAATTTCCGTTTATATTTAAGTTTATTCTATGCTTCTTTGCTATTGTTAGCGTCTTTTGATTAAATTGGTATTTTTCCTTGTAGGTGGATTTGACACCGCTCATGCCGCTGCTAGGTGAAACTTTTTGCACGTATTTAAGTATCCTTTGTCTTAGTTTTATGTACCAACAGAACCTTTCTTTTGATTTTAAGATAAGGATTTGATTGGTGTCCTCCTCAATTGACTTGGAATTTTCAAACTCAGGGCCTATGATCGAGCTGCTATCAAGTTCAGGGGACTTGATGCTGACATCAATTTCAACCTCGTTGATTATGAGGAGGATATGAAACAGGTTCGAAAGCGCATAATCTTTTGATGAAATTTAATCTAAATGAAGCTTGCGATTGGATTTTCACTGTTTTCTTAATGATGGACAGATGAAGAATCTTTCCAAGGAGGAATTTGTGCACATACTCCGTCGCCACAGTACCGGTTTCTCAAGGGGGAGTTCGAAATACCGAGGAGTGACCCTTCACAAATGTGGCCGTTGGGAAGCTCGAATGGGACAATTCCTCGGCAAAAAGTGAGGACCTATTTTTTTTTTTTTAACTAAAACTGATGCAGTGGATTGCTACGATTATAGGATTAGATATTAGTACGAATTCAAGTACATATTGGTTTCAGCTGTATCTACTGGTATAACGTAAGTACGAATTCAAAGCGAATCGGTTTCCCCTTAGTTGTGCATTGGTCTTTACTCGTTAGGCTTTTTCCATGTTTGGAGAAACAGGTCTAAGATACCTGTTTCAAATAAACGATTGGCAGAGGTGTTTTTGTTATAGAGATTGCAATGCTTTCATGCAGGTATATATATCTTGGGCTTTTCGACAGCGAAGTAGAAGCTGCAAGGTCCTAATGATACATGAATTACATTCTACCTGCACTGAATTTATTACCCTGAATTATCAAAGCTCATTAGGGTTCCAACCAACATGTCTCCCTTTTGATTTTCTGGAAATCAGGGCTTATGACAAGGCAGCTATCAAGTGCAATGGAAGAGAGGCAGTGACTAACTTTGAGCAGAGTACATATGAAAGCGAAATGAAACCCGAAGCTATTAATGAAGGTACTACTTTATAACAAGATGTTCTGATATGTTTGATTCCCTAGTGATTGTTAGTGCTTAAAAAAAAACTCAATGTGAAATGAGGTTTGTATTTGTCTTCAACTCAGGTGGCAATCACAATCTTGACCTCAATTTGGGCATAGCGACCCCAGGACATGGTCCCAAGGAAAACGTGGGGCATCTTCCGTTCCACTCCATCCCTCACAACATGCATCCTGGAAGAAGTTCAAAGGTATATAGTCGAAATCTACACCTTCATTTACTTTTAAGGTTTGTTGCAAATTATCAAGGGCAAAGGTTTATATCACTTTATCACCCTTTATGCACTCAAGCTAGTTCCATTACACTCTTTATTGACACGATAACTATTTAGCGGGATGTTTTTTTAATGCAAGCAGAGAGTTCTGTTGGGCTTTGAAGGTTCACCTAGCTAATTACCGCTTACTTTCATTTGACACACTTGATATTTGTGAAAACATGGGATTTATGGTATTGTTTTGTTGGTTGTAACTACCTCACGTTTATGCTTAATTAATGGTAATGAGAGGGCGATTCTCTTTATTTGCAGATAGACACTAATGTTAATTCAGTTATTGGTGCTCCGTCTTTGAAAAGGCTGGTCGAAAATGAAGAGCGTCCTTCTCTTTGGAATGCCACATATTCCAGTTTCTTTCCCAATGTGGTGAGTTCACTGCCTGCCCTTCATTTAGTTTTAGAATTGAAGGATGTTGCTTATTCTTTCACTGAGTGCTTCTCATAAAACATTTATGATTATTTCCTTGTTAGCGTCTGTCTACATTAGAACAAAGAGGAATGTTTGACTTTTTATTTTGACATAACAGTCGGAGTTGAGTTTTATGCTCAGGGAATCAATCTTACATACTGAATTTATCAACTTTCGGTGCGATCTAAGTTATCAGGAATATCACGAGAATTTATCTCCATTATAATGGATGCATTTGGTGTTCTACGTCATTCTATTTTTTGACAAGATGAGCTGTTCCCAAATATGTTAAAAAACAGTACTTAGAAGCGGCGAGTCCATAAATATGTTCATATATTTCATAGATATATTCAATGTAATGGCCATTCTATTAACAAAATGAGCTGAATTTGAAACATGGCCAAGAATTCGATGCAATGACCGTCGCAGCATTAGAATAATATTTACCGCCGAACATTTCTTGTTGCATTCCTTTATTGGAAGATTCTTCTTGGGTGTGTAACATTGAGCATTAATAAGAGTTGATGGAGTCATTGACTAATGTATAGGAAGATATTTATAAGCATATGTTTGAAAGATTGTTGAAATATTTGGCAGGAAAGAGCAGAGAGAATTGGGATAGATCCTTCAAAAGGACTCTCCAATTGGGCGTGGCAAACGCACGGCCAGCTTACTGCCACCCCAATACCACCGTTCTCTACTGCAGCATCATCAGGATTCTCAATTTCAGCTACGTTCCCATCAACTGCAATCTTTCCAACAAAATCTGTGAACTCAGTTCCCCAGAGCCTCTGTTTCACTTCATCTGGCGCACACGTTAGCAATGCGCCTCCATACTATTACCAGGTGAACTCCCCACAGGCACCATCGTAGCCTATCTTGTAATACAAATATAAATGGTAAATGGGAACAAGCCTTTGCGTTTAAAACTCTGTTGTATAATTCAGTTACTGATTGATGTATACTGAGATACCGCTTCTGATTGCACCTATTGGTTAAACCATTATGCACATCATGTATGAAGGGAAAAGCTATTTTTTTAGTGCACTTCTTCTCCCACAATTCTTTTTTCTTCAAAATTAGTAAATGGCTGTCACAATTCGAGTATTTGCCCACCAGTTTTGACACTATAAGCTCACTGTATGCAACCCTGAAAATGGGAGGAAACGCTAGTGTTTTGTATTTTTCATGGAAGATTTCACAAATTGGTTTTACCCTACGTGACACCACTCATATATTTCACAACTTTTTGCTGCTTTTTATCCGCGAGACTGAAAGAGACAGAGAAACAGAGAAAATGAAGCATCATTTTAAGCAAAGATTACTTTCATCGCCTTTTAAACAGAGGCTTTGTTTGACAATAAAATCTGTTTTTTTAGAAAACATTAAATTTAATATATATATTTGATGAAATTATTTAAGTGATAAAATTTTTTATGGTAATATGATTAAAAACTACCAGATATTTTTTTCTGCTAGTTTTTCCTTTTTGCAATTGATAGTTAAATATTTTAAATACGAAATTAAGTATTATAATTAATTTCATACCTCTGTAAATTATTATAAAAATAACTTTTAAAATAGTTCAAATCAAATAAGTTATTTCAAAATATTTTTATTTAATATACATATTAAAAAAGTAACCTGAAAATTATGCAAGTAAGAATCAGTGACCTAATTTCTCTAATTAAGGAGTAGAACATGTGATAACTTCCTGTGTTAAATTGTATCAATTCCATAGCCAGCTTAAAATCTATTTCGATATTCACTCTTCCAATCTCTTGATCATTAATTATGCGAAGACCCATCAGAAGGTAAATATGAATTCTTATAATTTTTAATATCAAAATATTAGTTCTTAAAAAGGTATAAATTAAAACAAACTATATGATTAAAAAATGTAAAGGACGAAAAAAAAAATAAAAAAAAAACTAATTATTTGTTTTTTTTTTTTTTTTATCAATAATGAACTATGTGATAGCATATGAGTCAACCTGCAATTTTATTGGAACGAGGATCGGCCATGTCCAGTGACAATGAGCAGTGGGTGACAGAAGTTAATGCAAATACTATTTTATTATATTGGTCACAGAGCAGAATTATTCAGGTAATGAGAGCTAAAGAGCAGTTGAATGGAGCGGAGCAGAACAGAACAGAACAGAGCAATGCATTCCGATTACTGTTCAGTGTATCTCTGTTTTATGGTACCCTCAAAAACAAAGAATCAATCAGAACGCAGTGTATCATTATGTGGGTGCGAGGAGGTGAGGGGGACCACCCTTTTCATTTGTCATCACCTCCTATTAACTACCACGTCACGCCTCTTTTTTTAAGTAATTTTAACATATAAGCAAGAAATATCCTGCAAAAATTTCACTTTTCAACATGTAACAAGGGTCTTTTTGTAATATAGAAAAAAATATTAAAATATGAGATTTGGACAGAATTACGAAAATATAATAATTTTTATTAAAAAATAATTTTTCGTATTTTATCTTTTTAATATTTTGTGACAGTTTTTACTTTTTTAATATTTTTTCAAAATTATCATTAATAATTATTTATATAAATAAATATATTCAGTCATTTAATATATAAATCGGACTTAAATTTTTTAATATTATATGTCTTTATAAAATATAATATAATTTTATATTACGATAATGGAATTTAATAAAAGAAAACAAAAAAAAAGTGTTGAAAAAACTCTAAAAAAATAACACAGTGGAACGAGATTTCTTTCTTAAATCACTGCTCGTTATATGATAGATAATTACCATGGGTGACCACTTTAGGCAACTGTTTCACAAGGGAAATGGCAACTTGGAAAAAAAAAATGATTATACGAAAATGGCAACTGTTCCCACACCAGTCAACGGGTTTGGCAAGTCTTGTCAGAGCTGCATAAACGTTATCATTATCCACATAATAATTGGTACCCATCTTTACTCTTTCACTACAACATTTTTCATTTTTCCACAATTATAGTCTTGTCCATTGTTTTGTTACTGCAATAACTGACAATACACAGGCATTTTTAACTAAAGTCAAATTGTAAAATAAATGAAAATATTTAAATTGATAAATAAACACAAGAAATAAAGTTAGATGTAAAGAAAGAAGAATACAGTTTGTGTTTGTTATGTTTTGAAGTACCTCGTGTTATTTTGAAATTTACTTAATTTATTTTTATAATTTAATATTAATAATAGCTCGATTCCATTGTCGGTTTGGTGTTAGAAATATTATTAAAGTTTTATTTTCAGTGGAGTTAAATCATTGTGGAGTTTTTATAAAATCTAACACCAACACAAAATGGATAGGGTGTTTGCAGTGTGCGACACAGACTTTGCATGTCCACCACATCATTAAAAAGAAACATTATTAAAATGGGTGGCTCCAAAGAAGACAACCCGATTGGTAAGATTGGAAGATGAGGGAGAGGGGTAAGGCTCCTCTCATTGTTTTTATTTCCATCTATCTTTTTCTTTAGGCGAGTGTTAGTAGTTGATGCCAACTCTTTGTTTGCCCCCATTCGTTTGTAGCTTTGTCTTAATGTATTTCTTTGTCACTACATTATATCTGTTTCAATAATGATATTTCTGTCGAAAAAAGTGAGAGACTATTTTCTCATTATCATTAATATATATATATTAAGATTAACAACACACTCTTTAATAATATATTTTTCTTGATTTAACTAAAATTTATTTTAAAAATATAAAAATAATGTGAATCTCGTTCTGAATAAACATTTTTGGCTTATATTTTTTTATTTTTAATAAATTTTAATGATTAATAAAAAATATATTAAAAAGTATATTTCTAACCTTCTTCTTTATCTTAAACTATAAAATAAAGTGGCAAAGCAGTGATGCATCAGGATAGCCTTGCCATAATGCCGTGCTTGAAGTCCGAACAATACAAAACATTACTCTGCAACATTGTTATGACAACCGAACAACATGCCGCTTGCTAAAAATCAACTATACAAAACAGAAGGATGGACCATGCTAGATCAAGCATTCAATGCCCAATCCAACAAAATGGACCCCAAAACTCTTTATCTATCTATCTATGTACTCTTGATGCTTCTAAATTTATGAAATTATATATACTATTTTTAATCTTAATACCATTATAATTTAATAAATACTGATCAGTATTGTAAAAAAAGTGATTACAAAATTAAAAATTATAAATGTTATAATATTTATAATTTTAAATATTAAACATATATAAATAAAAAAAATCATTAATTTAACTAATATTTAAAATTAAAAATTTTAATTAGCAAGATGCTTACACTTTTTTATATTATTTAATATTTCACATTTTTAAATAATAGACTAAAAATTATAGACACAATAAAGACGTGAATATTGTATGACACCGAATGGAGATAATGCATATATTTTTTTTTGGCTAAAGGGAGGGGCTAAACACCCAAAACAAAAACTAAGAGTTATATCTAAAATACCCATTGTCATAGGTATCAAAACAGAGAAGGCGAAACAAAGAGGAGGGGGGATTATCAAAATAAACTAAAGAAATACAATCATCAATATCAAGTTTAGAAAGTTAATTGGTACAATGATTAGCTTATCTATAAATGTGATTAAACTTAACAAGCAAAATTTGTTTCAAAAGGAATCTAATATTATGCAGTAAAATAGCAAAAAGATGGTGGTAAGATCAGAGATTCAAAATAAGAGATAAAGCTTTCTTGGAGTCTCTTCCAATTCAAATACATTGAATCTGCTTTTGGACAACCAATTTGATCCCCTAGAATAAGGTCCATAGTTCAGCACCAAGAGGATAACAGGAAAATGTGCATCCATGGCAATCAGCAACAAATTTGCCTTGACTATCCCTTATGAGACCACCAAATCCAAAAGCTTTATTATGAGAAGGAACTGAACCATCCACATTAAGTTTAAAGTGACCAGAATTGGGAGGAATCCACTTGACATGATTCTGCTGCTTCATCAAAACAGAATTGAAATTATTGTTAGTTCTAAACACATAATTAAAATAACACAAATCATGTAGGAGTTGAAGGGGAATTTTTGAGGAGAGAGAAGGAGAAAATAAAATTTTAAATTTTAAATAAATATTTTAAATTAAGATTTATTTAAAATAAAAAATATAAATTTAATATATTAATTATATATTTATTATTATAAGTAATATATAATTAATTTAATTTAAAATTAAAAAATATATCTTCTTTTCTTTTCCTTCCACGACTTTTCTTCCAAATATACTATTAAAGATCCAATTCAATCCAAAAATCGTTTGAATTTTGTAAAATACTTTTAATTTTATTTTTAATTAAAATTAAAATTTTATTTTAATAAAAAATTTAAATTTAATAGTCATATTATTAAGATAAAATTTTAAACAATAATTTTCCAATGCGTTGCACAAGTATTATTAAACTAAATATTTTCAAATGTTACAGTTAAAAAATAATCTCATTCAAAAATAAATATTCACAATTTATATATATTAAAAAAATAACAATACCAAAAATATTTTAAAAACTATACTTAAATTTTCCATTTTCTAGTGCGATTCTTTTGTATTGGGAATTGCCGAAATTAGCACAGCAGATATGTTATTGAGCTTTTTCATATGATTTGTGCTTATTATAAGTTGTGTTTGTTAGACTAAATTAGGAAGACTCGAAATGTGCAATGGATGCGCTGGACCATTTTGCTAATGCGTTTCATCAGTTCATTAGGGTCGATTTCGATAAATGTAGTGATTTGATGAACTAAACATTGATAGAGATAAACCAAACATTGATAGGGCAATTTGATGAAACAACTCAGTTCCTGTTGTTGAATGGATGTTGTTTCTGTTATTCAACTGAAGCACAACTTGAACAGGAGATAAAAAATAATAAAAAAAAACGAACACTGATGCACGCGACATCTAGGAGGGTAATATCTGACTTTCTCGATTTTGGACTACAGGAAATTTGAGGCAAAGGAAGTTGAAAGACTTCGACTGGAAGACATAATTAGTCTAAATTTTAGCTAATATAGGACTGAAAATTAAGCACTTCTCTAACCTGTATTTTGGACTCTAATCGGGGTAATACTGCGCTTACTATTTATTTATTTATTTTTTGCAATTGTGTAAGATTCTAATTAATATTATGATTGTTCACTTTTGTTAGGAGTTAGGAGAGAGAAAAAGGATATAAGTTAATTAATTAGAGGCAATCGGTGAGATAAATAAATAAAGGTGTCTAGGGGAAGAGGAGATTCGTTCTATCATTGGTAGTTTAGGCATTTGGTTTTGTGAAAGAAGCAGCCTTTATGAAGGGAAAATCTTTGAAGGAGAAATCTCTCTTCTTTTCTCAGTCTTTCAATAAAATTGTTCTATACTATTGTTTGTTCCTATCAAATTCTCTTCACACTTTCCCGGGTTCGCAGCAATTTCCTACCAGAAAAACATGGGTATAATGTGGTTGTTGAAACCGGATTTCTGGAAGTCACGTACAGTTAAGCAGTGTTGTTGGCTTGGGTTCTACGGTGTTAACTCATCTTTTCTTGTGGCAACTTCCGTTCTTTTTTATTCTATGTACTCCCAAAAAGAGAGAGAAAGAAATGTTTCAAACAATGAAATTATTTGCTGTTAAGATCACCAGTTGTCCGTGGTCCTGGCTAGTCATCAAACACATCAGACAGTTGATGATCTGAACCACACAATAATTTTCCATAGCTCGAGGAGTCTCATTCTAAATAGCAGCTCTATTTTTTCCGGCATTTGTTGTAACAGATACATGTGCTTCTTGTCCACAACAAGAAGAAGAAATGTCAATTTGTAAATTGGGAATTTTTTATTCCTCTCTTTTATTTCTCTCTATAATTTGTCAATCACAGTTATAGACGAAAATACAAATGTCTTCAAGTAGCATTAGAACTTTTCCAACCGAAATTAGACAAAACCAAGGTGTGTACATATATATATATATAACTCTTAGTGCAAATTTTCACAAATAGCATTTTTACCCTGATGTCAATTTGGAACTTGCGTGCTGTCATCATTATGCATTACGGTGTAGGTCAACAAACGAAGAAATGACAGGCACATAAAACCCCAAAAATTGTGCGTAGTTTATACTTCCAAGTGCCAGGGTTCAAGCAAGTTTAGATGCCTCGCAAGTGTACAAAGTGTTTGTTTAAAGACAAAAACGTTTTCATTAGGATTGGATAAAACCATAATACAAGTACCAATAAAAGTATTCGGTGTGCTGTTTAGTTAGTATAATATAAGGGTTTACATAAACTGCTAAATCTTGTAATTTCATAAAATCTTAACGAGTTCCCAAATTTTTTTAATTCAAACACTTGTTTCTTTTACTGCCAATAAAAAATCGATACATAATTTCTCAATTAATATCATCCTAAAAATCAAGACTCAAAAAACACTGACAAATGTTCAACTTAAATTGCATACAAAGTGATACCTTCAATAAAAATGTAAAAACTAACTGAAAGCACAGTCTGAACCTCTGAACAAATCCAAAGGTGAATCTTACAGTACATGAAGGAATTGTCCACAGGTAAATAGTTATTTCATACCATTACTGACATTAACCCAAAATAGAAATGGCGTAGCACTAAATATCAAAGAGCTGCCGCGCGGCCTCCAAAAGCTCATTCGATTACTTCATAGGATTTAAATAAAATCCCAGTTTAGACTCACAAAATTAACCTCTTGCCATAATATTATTGCAACAAAACGTAATCGTAGACCGCAAAAGTGACATTTTATATTAAAAAAATATCACCAAAACAATTGTAGGAAATATAATCATCTCAGACACATTGAATATAGTATTTGTACTTTGCAGCCTCTATAAATAAACCAAACTCTTAACAGACAGCCCATCAAATTAATCACCCGAAATCAAGCCTTCAGCAAATATTTATCGCTGTACTTAACATTTCGTAAAAATAAATCTTGGATTTTCCGTAGCAAAAAATATTTTTTCGAAAAAAAAAAAAACTAACTTGTATTAACGGAGCCGTGTAAAAAGTCATTCATCAAGTGACACGAGTTACACTCCGGCCATGGTGTTATATTACCTGATAACCAGTTACAAAATCACAAGACAGCAAAATGGAAAGCGTATAAACCAAACAAAGCAGGACAACGTAGTTTATAGATCAAGACATCAAATTCTTATCCTCTTGGGCACATATACAGTGATTAACTGCACTAAAAAATAATTAAAAAAATGCACAAACGAAAGAAACAAAATTAGTAAAAGATCGGTTAAAAAGCCACTAGATCTGCTTAGCAATGGCGTTCACATATCAGAAGGAATTTCTAAGTTAAAAAGTGATCTATTTTATACAAATATAAATATAAAAACACTACCAAGATGAAAAACTACTGCTCAAATTATTTCCACTGAATCATTCCATCAAACCCTTTTCTATACCAAATATAGGACAATATTATTTCGATTGTCAATCAACAAGTTTCCATGCTCTGTACTTCTAAGAGAAAACTAAGATCTACCTGCCATTCGGTCATGTTTCAATCCACGATTGATTTCTTAAATCTCAACACAGCTTCTTCCACAAAATCCAGAACTACACAGAATAAGGAGAGAAGATTGAGTGCTTACATTTTGAAAACCGAATAGCAAATTCATACTAGGTATATGACTAATTTAACAGCCAAATGTAGATATAATCAGCTTTATATTTGGAGAATGTTAAGTGAAGAGTGAATTTAAGAAAATCAATTTTGTTTGTATTGTCTAAAACAATCACTTTTTATACAAAAAAAAAGGGGTATGAAGTATGAAGTTAATTTAAAATAATCACTTGTTAGGGATGAAGTAAGAAAACAGAAGTTAGATAGAAAATAACCTATTAATTTGTAAACATAAGCTTCATGATTTTGCTTATCATCAAAATGTTATTTCCTTTGTTAAAATCATAATCAAAGATGAGAATCAAAATTACCAAACATGCCACTAACACTGAAAATGGCTTTTTACGAATCAGATTATAATAATTGAAAATAATCTTAAACCAAGCATGATTTAAGAGGAAGAATTAAAGCAAGAATTAGACCATTGAATTTAAAGCAAGAGAAAAAGGCTTGAAATTTGAATGATTACCGGCTGCAGCTATAAACTACACTTCTTGAGAGTTTTATCATTAGGTAGCCCAACAGACCGGTTATGAATGAACCAGCCCCATCATCTTTGGCAATGCAGAAAAATCTGTTTGTCTATTTCTGATGACTTTACCATGGCCAACATTCAGAAATATAATAAAGCCAACAAATTCAGATTCCAAATGTCCTGTTGTACAGATCCCCAGAATTTGGCATCCTATATTTTGAATCATCATATCCTCTATAAAACTTGTTAAATCCAAGTCTTTCGTTTCTCAAAAGCTCAGTCATACCCAGTCTATTTCCACTCTGCACTTCATTCCATCCATCCCATTGGCCATTTGACAAGACTGCATTTCTAGATTGCTGCAGAGACAAGTGAGGAAGTGAGGCCAGATTATTGACTTGTGATTGATTTAACCTTGAAGAGATACCATAAGAATCACCAAGCTGACAGAAAGTATTCCCAATGTCAGAAAATTGAAGGTTTTGCTGCGGTGAGAGAGATCTCTGCATCAATAATTGAACTCTAGCCTCATTTTCAAAGTAATTTAATTGTCCAGGGTAACTAGATCGCATGTCCAGTGCTGGGCTGTTTGGTGCACCTTGAATTCTCCCTTTACCAACTGCCAAAATAGCAGGATCCATAAATTCAACGTCTCCTGCACCACCAATATTTCCAGTTGAGGGCATTTGATATGAATTCCTCAGTATGAAAGAAGACTCGAGCAATGAATTCCCTGTCACAAGGATAACAACTATATTAAACCGAAATGCAGAAAGACAAGTAAAAGTAGAATAAAACAAGACCTAACCAGAAAGGGAGTCAAAAGCCTGCCCCATTCTCTCAAGAGAGGAGAAACCAGGAGGTGGTGCCCTGTTTGGAACTGAAAATCCTGGCGGCACTGAAATTTGTGCTCTTGAAACAGCTGAAAACCATGATAAAGGAAGGTGATTAGATATATATACACACACACACACACACACACACCAAGGTATCACAGCTTTAGTAGCTGTTATGCTAATGCCACTTCAAACTTAGCAACACAACTCTCAATCAAAACCTAATATACTATAAACCACCAATGGTACCAAACATAGGTATTTTATCAAAACATTATGAGTAAAACCTGACCAGTTGATCCCTCGGGATTTTTTCAGCAATAAATGTGCTCACTACTCAAGCAATTGATATTCTACTGACCATGGAAAAAAAAAAACGCAATTTTGTGTACTCAACACAATATTGAGATACAATGTTCAATAATATTTTCAGTGGTACAATATTTAGATTTGAAATCAAGAATGCCACTTGTTATAAAGTCGCCTCCTGACTGTAGCTGTCTCCCTATTTAGTACTGGCAAATCACACAAAAAGTAAAATATTTTTTAAATAATGGTAAGAAAAAACTACACTAGCCAGTTTAAGTAAGCTATTAATACTCACCAGAAAGCTTATTTGAAGCAACAAAATGACCAGTATCAATATTTCCATGTTCCTCCAGGTTATTGGCAGGGAAGTCATTTGCAATACCCACATTGTCCAAAGGCAAGTCTCTTTCCACAAAATCTTGAATGAGTGAGCCACTCTTTGTAAATTGCTGGTTGGAACCAGAAGATGGATAGCCTTGGATTTTGGATTCTTCCTGTCTTGCAAAAGAAAATCTGGACTGATTGTTACTTTGAACTTTCCAAGAACTAGATTTCTTCAGGGGACCATTCTGGTTATCAGGGTTGTCGCTCAACAACTTGGCCAAACTCTCAGGTGATGTTAGTGAGTCATCCCAGGCATCAAACTCCATGGATAATATATTTGAAATTATACTGCTCTCACCCTTATCCATAGCAGCATCACTTTCAATATTAACTGCTTCACTTACTAATCTTCTAGTGCGGTGCTTGTTTCTTTCATCACAAAGGAATCCATAAGAGCTGGTGCTGACTGATTTTTTAGAATACTTGTTGCACATGTTAGATGCATGTAATAGTGAGTCATTCCCAACTTTATCAGTGGCATCTAAAGAACAAGCATTTACAATATTACATGGTTCACCATGCTGCAGAGGATGAGAACTAGAATGGTTTGAGAGATGAAGGAAACTTGCTGGCTTTGGCAAATAAGAATGACAAACAACTTCTGGTTCCTTAAGTCTCTGATTATCAAAAGTTTTAACATCGTCTTCCACTTCAGCATTAGCTGATACTGCATGAGATTGAGAATCCAAAGCCAAATCACACTGTTCCTTTAAATTACATACCTCATTATCTAATGTAGCAAATTTACAGGCTGCATTTGTAATTATTGCATCTCTAAATTTGTCAGCATTCTGCAGTGACCCTTGAGATTGCTTAGATCTAGGCAAAACACTATCAGGAATTGAGCTGCTAGGTTTGGATAGGCCATACTGTTCATTTTGGCCATTTCTATCAATGTAAACAGAAGAGAACTTGTCCGACAAATTTTCAATCTCTTCACCAGTAGAAATAATTGCTTCCTCAGGACCAAAGCTGCAAGACTGTCCAGTAATGTCAGTAAAATTTGTTGTGTCTGTTGTAGTACAACTGCCTGTATCACTATCTCTGGCTAATGGTAGAGAAGACAACTGGTTATTCAAACTCACAGGTGAAAGAGAAACATCGGAAGCCAAAGTTTTTTCAACAGCACTAGCAAGGATATCCATGCTTTTATATTGTTTATCAGGTTTCAATAATTCATTTTTAACCCCAGGTGTCATACTATGACTCCCACCACTCAACAATGGCTTCTTTGTCAATTCACTATTTAATGAAGTCTGTACTGTGCCTACAACAGCAGAAGAGAAGGGAACTGTGCTGCTGATTGTATCAGGTTTAGGCTTGGATGGTCCATTTGGACATAACAGACCAGCAGCACCTGGCTGACAATTTGTAGCCCGTGTACCCCTAGCAAACACATTGGTTGAAATGTTAATTATTTTAAATTACTTCAACATTCAAAGCCAAATACATGAGCTTATACATTACCATGCAGCAGCAGGAAGAGCTATAGGCGTCACAGAACTTCCATTAGGAGGTGAACCTCTAACAATGCTAACAGAGGTCTGCACCGTGATAAAAATAGAAATTTCAAATTAGCAGCAATATTTTCAGGTGCATAGTGCACAAACTACATTTTTCCCAAGCAGTATAGTCAATGTAGCAAAAGAAACTATATATCAAATTAGCACACAATAATAATATGGCAAAAGCAAACACCCAGAAAAGGAGGCAAAACATAACAAAGCAATACTTGAAGAAAGCATGAAAAAAAGAAGGTCCTACACTCGATGCATTTTTTACAATTGGTTTTCCTGACGAAATATTTGTGCAATCATCCAATGGAGGAGGCAATACATTCCCTGATCGCCGTTGCATATTGTTTGCAGCACCGGTAATTTGTTGAACACGACTTCTTCAAAACAACAAAGCAAGTGACTAGACCATTATATGAAAAGCACTACATGCATCTAAAGCAAGAGAAATGTGAAAACAGAAAAACAAATTTGGGAAATATAATTTGATTTCGGTATTGTGAAAGCCATCAAATTTCATTAAAAAAACAATGAAACTTTCAATTAACTGGGAAAAAAAGGACTTATATGTGATACATCAGAGCAATCTAGAATTTAACGATCCTAAGAAAGGACCCATCCCTTTAAATGAGGTCATTTTATTTTCATAATACAAAATTACAAAAATATTGAAAATATAATGAATCGCCCGATCATGTATCAACTGCCATGTGAACCCATTTGAATTCATTCCAAATATAGATGAAGCCTTTAATTTACTGCAGGAAAAAATAGTTCAATCTTTCCAATAGCCCTTAAAAAATAACACTAGATGGGGAGTTTCAATTATTTGAGGGATTGGTTTTATCATTCATTATGTGTTTGATTTTCTAAGAGGGTTCAGTTGTCAGGTTTAGCTTCTTCTGAACATTTAACCAGAGCCAACATGATTTTCTAGATATGCTTACAACAAACAAACAACAAAAAAAAAATCTTATCCCAATAGATGAGGTCAGATACATGGATTACACAATACTGATTTTTTGCCAAAATATGATAGAAATAAAAAAAAAAAAACTGAAATAGGGTATCTATGAAACACTTTTCTTGTCTGAGGTGTTTTTAGCTATGTCACTGTAAGTGTCATCGACTCTTATAGGGAGAACACTTATTTTTTGAATAATAAATAGATAAAGTTGATGTTCGAAGCAGCTTGACCGGCTTTGTTCGATTGCTTTTGTTAGAGAAAAGAGTGGGTTGTTACCATGGGAGCAGCTTGATCATGAAGAATAGTTTCCATGAGAGAATGGTGTGGTTCCAGTGGTTGATCTTTGAGGGTGACCCAGGCAATGCTCTGAGAAACCTTTCCAAGATGTCTGTCGGGTAGAGGGGTGTCTGTGGGGCTGTTTGGGGCAACATTGATATAGCTTAAAAAAATAAAGTTGACGAAGAGAACAACATCACACAAAATAGTTTGATTAAAACTTGTTACGTGCAGCAAGTGATGCAGATGGTGATTGAAGCAGTTGTGTGGTGTGTACGAGGAAGTAAGAGTGGTAAGGGATTAAAAAATGGGGCAATAGACGCCAAAAAGGGGCATTAAAGATGGCCAAAGTTTCCCTTCCCCATAACTGCGTGATTTACACACTGCTATTTCTGATGAACCAAAGCAAAGTATTCCTCCAATTTACGAGACTAGCCACTACTGATCCCTCTGCTGTTATGTTTCAATTTAATAATCATTAACTTTATTTTTTTAATAAAAAATAAGTGTCAGCTCGTATATGGACAATACTCTTTTTCTTATTATTAAAAAAATAATTGTCGGCCTTGTAAGGGTCGGCACTTACAGTGACGTAGCAAAAAATACTCTAAATAGGAAAAATGTTTCATAGATCTCCTATTTTGATTTATTTTTTTTTATTTCTACCATATTTTGGCCAAAAACCCACACAATGCCATTAACTTCAGTAAAAAATCAAAATTTTTGATATATTATTTAACAAGAGATTCCTTTAAATAGTAAAAAGGTTCTAGATATGCTTAAGCATATAAAATTTTCAGCTATGATCCTTAAATAGTTTAGTATCATAAAAGTATGGAAGATCCATCATCATCAATGTTAATTTAAAACTGATAGCTACAGTGAAATGCCTACACGACCAGGACAAGAAACATTCTTCTTAACAAGGTAGCAAGTACTCTACAAAACTTTATCCAATTATGAAAAGGATCAAAAACACCCAATTCAGAGAATAGATTTTATCTTTCAACAGAATCACAAAAAATAAGTTTCCCATCAAAACTTATCTAAGAAAAGTACCTAGTGTATGCTGAAATTATTTCATCTTTTGTGAAACTATCTTCTTGAGAGCCAATCTCATGCAGATATAGACAATCCGGATTGCTGCAAGGCTGGTCATCAAGATCTATTCCCAATCAAGCTTAACTAATTAAGGAACAAGTTAAAAATCTGTACAGGAATCAGTAATTTTCAAACCATGTTTCTGAGCCACGCATGACAATATTTAGTGGTTCCAAAACTAGCCCTGCAAATGTAAAACCAAAAACAAACAGCATCGATAAGCTAGAATCAGAGATCAATCAATCCATAGGTGAAAAGCTTCAATGAATGCAGTTTTAGGTACCTTAAAGGTCTGCCCTCCAAAATAAATCCATGTACACTCTGAATGCATCGAATTGCTTCTTCTTCCTTTGAATAAGTAATATATCTGGGGGAAGAAAATCCTTCAGAAGCTGCTACATCTTTATATTATTGAAAATGGTAAGCAAACAAGCAGACATGGCAGGGAATATAATGGAGAGGTGTAGGGCAGAAATCCTGTTTTCAGTCTTCTTTAGCTCGCATTTGTTTTACCATGAAAATCTAAGTTTAGATTAATTTGGGCACTCAACAGTTCAAAATTATTCTATCCAACTTTAAAACAGACCCTCAATAAGGGTTGATGTTTAGAATATAAATGCCTTTTCTATTATTTTACCCAGGAAAATGGATTGTTTTGTTGAAGTCTTTTTGCTGGTTATTTCCTCCCATCCAGTGTTAAAAAAGAGAATATTCAAGAAGAAAAAACAATACAGAGACTCGCATACTATCCAATTCTTCTGAATGACAACAAACTGGAAACAGTAAAAGGTCTATATATTATTTCCCATAACTATCAATATGACAAGTGAGCTACTGAAAAGCAATAACAACAATGTAGTTTATGGCAAAAGCAGTGCATATTGGCAACTCCCAAATAAGCTATAGTGGTAGCAGATTGTATACAGTAGCCATCGCAACAAAGAAAGCTATTGCAATGAAAAACTTCAACAATCTGCAAAAACCACTTAATTGATATCCTAGTAGTTAAAAAACTTCACAGAATGGAAAAAAATGGAACATTAGTCACAAGCAATAATACAGAAATGAAGAGAACAAAAAGGAGGAGTATAAGTACACAAAAATGTAGTGTGTGATGCACTGTCAATTTGTCAAAAGTGATTTCTGATCCATAAATTAGTTTATAACTTTTTGGGTGTCAATGGACCTAAGAGTACCTAATTTGTAAGCCCATTAGATTCTGGTCAGTTTTAGGTTACAACAACAACCAAGTCTTAGGTTAAAGCTAGGTATTTTGATCCCAATAGAGAACAAACGCTATGCACCACAACAGGGAAGCGCCCTACTTCAGGCATTCAGGAGAACTAAGAGCCACTATGCTATGCTGCTATAGTCACTCGTGAGCATGGCTGCTTTGACAAACCTCAAAAATACCATTAAAAAAAAAAAAGCTATGCTGCAGAATTGAAGACAACATAAACTTACACACTACATGTATTGTTCGGAAACTGCTGAACAACACCAGCTGCTGTCCGAGACATTGACACTTTTAAGACCTTCCCGTACTGACCAAAATACTCTCGCTGCTGGAGAAGCTGAATGGTGGTAAAAATAAATAAAATTTAAAACATGCAGTGAGAATAAGAAAAAAAAAAAGGCAAGGCAAGGGAGGGGAAGGTTGACAAAAATCAAAACAGATACATAAGATAGGCAACTTCTTAAAGCAGATGGCAAAAATTTTACATCTTCATCTGCCAGATTGAGTGGCAATCCCACTATGTAAACAAGGTTTCTCTGAATCACTCGCACACTGCTGAGCTGCTTCCGTGCTTCAGATGATTTGGACTTTGCTTTCTGGTTCTTCATTTTTCTTTCCATATGAACTCCAGCCACCAATCTAAGGAAAAAAATCATCAGCAAGAGAAACATGCAAAAAAACCTAAAAGTTTCAAACAAACAAGACAAATATCTAATACGAAAAATCTTATAACTAGTATTTTGCTTAGTTCTATCATATAGATAAAGACAAGATTCAAGAACTTCAGAGTTTCTAATACCTATAATATGTAGCGTAATACTACAACTTCTTTAAAGTATTGTTTTAAGATAAAGTTATACAAATACAAATGCATGGATGCTTAATTTAAAAAGGAAGAAAGGGCCTATGGAAGCAATAGAACATTCCAAGCCTATGGAAATGTACTATCAACAAAATAACCTCTCACAGTTTGCAGCCATCCCAACAATCTTTTCCTTATCATAAGGAGATCGACATGCAGGGCATCGTCCCTCTGTGTCATCCTTCTCAGCCATGTCCATTATGTGATGCCAACACCAGACACATATCTACAGTCAAGAAGAGATGAAAATGGTATTCATTATTAGTGTTTATGAAATAAATATTGTCCTCAGAAAACCAAACACAAACAACAGCACCTGTATCTTTAATACTTCTTGATTTACAAAAAATGAAGAAGTAGCATTTTATCCTAAACAGGAAAAATTCTCTCCGGTACTTAATAGTTGGAAGTGTAACCACAGTATTCAGTTAATAAGCAATACCTAGTAACACGTTGTACACTTAATTCAATAATAAATGCCACCTTGCAGGCTTGCAGAGTTACAGGCAGCATAAAATAGGACAAAGTAGAACAGGACAGGGAAAGACGAAGAATAAACAGTGAAGAGTGCCAGATGTTAAAAGATCAACAGAGAGGAAAATATATAAACCAAATGGCCAAATTGACAAGGAAGTTAACCTTAAAAAACAACAAACGTATTATATAAAAAACCTTCAGATTAATGCCTATGCCTAATAACGAGAACATAAAAGAGTCAAACCTCATAACCACATTTGCATGGTTTCAACTGCTGATCTGTCAAATCCATCTCTTCTGCGCAGAGAGGACAGGTCCTTTCTCCTTCGTCACTCATGATTGCCCTGAAAAAAAAATCAGTAAACCAGGAAAAACACGTCATTGTGGACCATCAAGCAAACACTGCTACAAGAGAACATTATACACAATATACATAACAACGATACTATTCTGCGCCAGGAAGCAAACATCAGCTATGATAGTGTAAATTATCATTCGCCCCTTAATGCAAGAACTTGACAACAAAGTTTTGCCCTGTCATACAGTCACTTAAGGCTACAATAACAAGAAAATCAGGAAAAAAGTCATGCATTAAACAATATGCAAATTTCAACACACAAATAATGATGGCACCAGGGAAGTGACTACAACCATAAACACAGCTCTAATTCTTACAATAAATCCAAATTAAAAACGAAAAATAGATTGAAGTACGTCCCTCAGAAACCTCAGATAAACTAAACACTAATCGGAGCATAAAATCAACCAACCAAAAAACAAATAATCGCCAATTAAATACCTTATCACAATTGTAAATCCGACAAAAACCGAAAAGCGAAGCTGGTTCTGAATTCAAACGTTAAAAACCAATGAGATAACGAATTGACAAGTGATAACAATGGCCGATGAAATCAGTAGCAAAATATAATCCGTGAATGCATCAGGGATCTATAAAAAATTGGATTCGATCGAGAAATTAGGGCGATGGATTGGAAGTCCATGACTCACAGTGATGAGATCGGGAAGAAGACGAAACTATGAGGAGGAGATTATTTGAGAAGCGCACGATAACGCAGACGCAGAAAGAGAGCGAGAGCGAGAGCGAGAGCGAGCAAGGCAGAGAAAACCACAAGGTGTCTTTTAAAAAGAGAGAGAAGGCTTTGTTTGGATGGGCCATTTTGGCTGCTGCTTCTCGCTAACGCGTCGCTGTCATTCGAAGTATTCTAACTCCGCTTAATGCCCTTCCTTTTCTATTTATTTACTACAACGTACCCTTTTGTGCCCTCTCGACTTGAACTGACTTTCAGTGTATATGATTCTCTACGGCACATGTATTCCCCGTTCCTATTCGTCTTAAGGTGGCGCTTCCTATAACGTATGGCCACGTGCTACTGCTACACTTTTTTTTATCCCACGACCGTGTTTGGTGAAAAGTTCCTTTCTAGTTTCTAGGTAATCAAAATTCAAAACATAGAAATCTTTTCAAAAACAGTTTTTTACCAAAAAAATTAATATTTATTTATTTAATAAATTTTCATTATACAAAAATTTGTATTATAAATTTGATTATAAAATCTATTAAAATATATTTTTATTTTTATTTTAATAAATTATATAATAAATTCATGATATATTTGAAAAAGTAAATTAAATATTTATTTAATAATTTTATATAAAAATTTATAATATGAATTTGTTTGTAAAATTTATTAAAAAAAACAAAAATTTTGTTAACATTAACCTTTGAAAATAAACAGTTAATAATAGTATAAATTTATTTTTAAAAATAAAATTATTATATTTTTATAACTTTAATACAATAACTATATTTTTTTTTATAAAAAAATTTTATTTATAAATATTCAAACTTAATTTTAATGGTTAAGATTAACAAAACTCATAAAATGAATAATATATATTTTAATAAATTATATAAAATTTTATTAAAATAAACTTAAAAAATAAAAAACTATTTTAAATAAATAGTCATAATAAGGTAAAAGAAATATAAAAAAATATAAGTTAATTTCATAAATTTTTCATTTAAAAGACTCCAAAATTCATTACACGTAAGACATACTCAAATTTATTTCAAAATAAGCTATTTTAGAATTAATGGTGATTATATTTTAACTGGATTATTAGTTTAAAAAGTTTAATATTAACACAAAGCTATTGTGAAAATTTGTATATCGATATATAATCGATTAAATGGATAGTACATTAAATATAATTTTTTAAAAACATCATTATATAAATTAATATTTTTGATAATATAATATTTCATAATTAATAAATATTGTAAATAAAATTTATATTACAAATACGTTTAATTTAAAAACTTTGTAGTTGACAAACAAAAAAATTTTCTATAGAATTTTGTTCTAATAATAATAGTCCTTTTTAATATATTTTTATTTATTTATTAAAAATTATTAAAAAAATATATAAGTATAAAAAATAATTGGAATTGTTAAATTAGAAATGACAAAAATACAGGTTTTACATTTTTTTTTGTGATCTTTAATAAATTTTAACTAACAATTAAGACTCTGTTAAGAAATTGGTGTGTTACTAATATTTTTTAAAATATTTATGTTATACTTTAATTTTTAAGATTGAGTTTAAATAATGAAATAATAATGATATTTTATTAAAAAATATTATTATTCTTTTATAACTTTAATACAATAAATATATTTTATATAGTATTTTTACTTTTAAATATTAAAATTCAGTCAAAAGTTGAAATTAATAAAATTTATTTATTCAATAATTAAAATAAATATATAAATACGAACAAAAACTGAAAAAATGTAACCAAGTTTCAAAATGTTCACATGTTTATGAAGAGATAATTGTAAATGCTGATTGTTCAGTTTATAGCTAAAACAATTGTTAGTAATCAAGATTGTTGCAAGGTCTGAGAAGGGTAACACCTACCAATGTCTCATTTTTCTTTTTATTTTTTTTCTATTTTCTATTGTTTTCCTACCTCCCCTGAAAATAACATAAAGACAAAGAAAATAAGAGTACAAGACAAAGTAAGTTTCCTAGCTATATAAAGAAAGACCACTCGGGGTCGAAACAAGCTGGGTAGAAGCATGGAAAACACAGCTACGTTATATAATTTGGGAATTCTATTGTTCATAAATATTGGGAATGTGGATGCATCATAATTAACTATATATATTTTTTAATGAATATTCATAAAAAAATATTATTTATTATTTTCTAAAACACAAAAAATAAAAGATATGTTTTAATTCATTAAATGAGCATTTTTTATATATTTATTTATTGTAAAATTTATATCAATAAAATATCTATTTATCACTGATTAAATGAATAAATCATTTTATGTAATAAATTTTAAATTATTAATTAAATGATTATGATAATTTTTAAAACAATATTACATGTCATAAATATAATAATAAATTTTATAAAAATAAATTATAAATAACCTTTTTAATAAATTACATCACAGGTTTTTAAAATGCATGAATATGTTTTTGTAAATACAAAATGAAAGGAGCATGTAATTTTTTAAAACTTAAATTAATATTTTTATTACATTTTTACTTTTATCTACTATTATAAATAAATAAAACAAGTGATATTTAATTTTAATATTATATTAAATTATTTAATACAGATTAACTAAATATTATTTTAAATAAATTTATTTTTATAGACCTATTTATATAGTTATAAATTTTTAGTTTCAAATTGATACCTTTCAACTAATTTTATGATTAAAAATTCACATATTTCGGCTCGTTTCAACGTACAAAGTCGGAGTATATCTGTATCGTTCAAGAGTCGCAATGGGGGGGGGATATCACTTGGAACAGCAGGAATTATTGAGAACTTGATTGTATATCTGATACGAGATTTCAATATAGAGAGCATGCTGCTCAGGTTGCAAACATAGCTAATGGCAGCACCTCGTTTTTCCCATTTGTTGTGGCAATAATCGCTGACTCCTTCTTTGGCCCTTTCCCTGTTGCATTTGCTTGTTCTTCTTGTTCTGTTTCTATGCTTACTCTCTTTCTATCTGCTACAAATGCAATAGTATTGTTCTCCCTTGTTTAATTAGCTGGAAAACTCAAACTTGCCTCGAATTGTTCAGCAACGTTCTTTTTGTTAAGATAGTTTTGACTTTGTTTTGTGTTACTTCCTATTTTACAGCAGTAGTTAGTATTTGATTTAAAGTTGTTATACTTTCCAATATTTTAGGAGTTAGCTTCGTATTTTCTGTTCGCTTCCCGTTTGCTGTACAGCCTATTTAAAAGGCTTTTCTATTGAATAAATGATGATGTCTTCCTCCCAAAACACTATCTCTTTCATTTTCCTATTTCTGCTGTTCATACAACAGTGGTATCAGAGCGGTTTTCTGGAAAAAGCTGCAGCTTTTCCACCACCACTCTTCTTATGGCGTCTGAAACTTTTGTACAACCAGCAATTCCCCGCTTTGATGGTCATTATGATCATTGGAGTATGTTAATGGAAAATTTTCTGAGATCCAAGGAGTACTAGCAAGTAGTTTCTGTGGGAATACCAGAGTTGGCTGAGGGCACAGCAGCAACAGATGCCCAGAAAATAGAAGTTGAAGCCTTGAAATTGAAGGATCTTAAGGCGAAGAATTACTTTTTCCAAGCGATTGATCGTTCAGTCTTGGAAACCATCCTTTGTAAAGACACATCAAAGGAAATTTGGGACTCGATGAAAAAGAAATTTCAAGGATCAGCTAGAGCAAAGAGGCAGCAACTTCAAGCACTTCGCTCAGAGTTTGAAATTCATCGGATGAAATCTGGGGAGTCCATTTCTGACTTCTTCTCAAGAACGATGGCCATCATCAGCAAGATGAGAACACTTGGGGAGAAAATAGAGGATGTGGCTGTAGTTGAAAAAATCCTGCGCTCATTGACACCAAAATTTAATTATGTAGTTTGTTCCATTGAGGCGTCAAAAAATATTGATCTTTTATCCATTGATGAATTGCAAGGTTCATTATTGGTTCATGAAAGAAAGCTGCAGCAGCAAGACAATGTAGAATTAGCATTAAAAGTTTCATCAGATCATTCGAGCAAAGGAGATGGAGGACGTGGATCAAACAATAACAATAGAGGTCGAGGTAGAGGCTATGGCAAAGGTCGAGGCAGAGGAAACTATGGTTATCAACAGAATCAGCACCAACGAAACCAATCTCAGGAAAGAGGAAGGGGACGAGGTGGTTATCAGGCAAGGTCAGCAGACAAGACAAATGTGGAATGCTATCGATGCCACAAATTTGGTCATTACAAATCAGAATGCCGATCAAATTTGCCAAATACACATGGTGAAGCATCTAATTTCGCAGAAAAGGAGGAAGAGCAAGTTGGAGAAATCTCATTGCTGATGGTTTGTCATGAAAGGGAGTCAACCAGCAAGAACTTGTGGTATTTAGACACCGGGTGCAGCAATCACATGAGTGGAGATAAGTCCGTATTTTCCATTCTTGATGAATCCTTTAGAGATAATGCGAAATTTGGAAACAATTCTACAGTCTTAGTGATGGGAAAAGGGCAAGTAACTTTACTAACTAAAAGCAATGTTGCACAAACCATGTCTAATGTCCTTTTTGTCCCAGATTTAAAGACCAATTTGTTAAGTATGGGTCAGCTGCAAGAGAAGGGTTACGAGATCACAATTAAAAATGGTGTGTGTCGAATTCTAGATGACAGATTGGGATTGATCGCTCAAGTGGCTATGACAGTAAATCGAATGTTTCCTCTCCACCTCAATCATTCTACTCAATCATGTTATGCAGCAAGTTCGATTGATCAAGTGCAGCGTTGGCATTTTCGTTATGGTCATCTTAGTCTTGGAGGTTTAAAGACACTTCAACAGAAAAATATGGTAACTGGTCTTCCATATTTCTCTAGTCCTAAACATGTATGTGAGGAATGTGTTCTCAGTAAGCAACATCGAGAACCATTTCCAAAAGGAAAATACGAGAGAGTAAGAAAACTATTGGAGATTGTGCACTCTGATATTTGTGGGCCAATTAATCCCATTTCTAATGGAGGTAAGCGATATCTTATCACCTTCATTGATGACTTGAGTAGAAAAACTTGGGGGTTTATTTCT